GTCTTAGGAAGAGCTGGCTCACATCTCAGTCCAGGTTATCACCTTCGACGTCGTCTCCGACGAAGTTGTGTGCCATCCCGTCCCGCAGTCTTCGAGGGATTGGCCAGTTGCTCGCAGTCAGTCCAGTAGCGAGGTATGCCCACCGACCGCAATACTTGACTTTGCTATCTTTCCGGGTGCCGGATAACATCAATACTGATGGGACGAACTAAGAATCGGCCTCGAGACATCGGCACTTGCAAGCATCTTTTGCCGGTATCATCTTGATATCGAGCTTGTATCCACAAAGATTTTCTTGGCTAATGCGTACACGTGGTCTAGGTTCGATTCCACATATGCGAGTCTGCGCATTGCGTCTATCGGCAATCTTCTCTTCCCCCGACCACCATGCCTACCAACGAATCACTTCTCAACAAGGACCAACTCGCCGTCGTCGTCGCCGTGATTGACGATGAGTTCATACCACTCATTCGACAGCAGGACCCCGTCTTTTCAGGATTCGCCGCCATCAGCAAATGGGTTGCTGTGCGAAAGAACGATATTGTTGACGGTCATCCGGACTTCAATACGGAGGACGCCAATCTGAAGAAGGCCTACCGGAAAGTATGTGCACATTCAAGCTCTTTGGAAGAAACACTGCGATTAAAATCCAACTCTAGGCAGTTGACCGCAAATTCCGAAACGTGTACAACACGCTTCGTGTCCGCGAGAGTCCGCTCGGTGTGGCGCTTCTGAAACACCTCATCCCCCGTCCTACGGCCCTTCAGCTCTATGAGATGGAAGTGAAAAAGGAGCTGGAGGAAACTGGTATGGATGGCTACGGCACCCGTTTGAAGAAAAAGTGGTCCAGTCTGACGAAGGAGGAGCGTGGGGTGTATGAGCAGCAGGTCGTCAATATGGCTAAAGACGTCGAGAAGCACGTTCAGACTTGTTCATGCATTCACCACACACTGATACCGTCTATAGCAACCGAAAGCTCCTGCACAACAACTTGAAGACCGCTCTTGACGTCCTATGTAGAGATAATTCCCTGGGTGGAATGACGGCCCTCACATTCTTGGGATACAGAGAACTTGTCACCGGCAAGGTCCAAGTTGCTATGTGAGTGCTCTCGGCCCCGCGCTCAAATGATGTTGCACTGACTTTGCTCCACTAGCTGCGACGGACGTGTCGCTGATGATAGCCCCAAGTTCGGGGATACCGCGGAGGAGCGCAACGTCTTGTCAACGTTGTACGACGCATTTGAGGAATACTCACACAAACATCTTCCTAGTGCGTATTTCCCCGATCATAATAGCGCTGCACTACGTCTGAATACGAGCTCAGGTCCTCCGTCCCTTGCCAAGCCTACCGCACAATCGCCTCAGAACCCAACTTCCCAGACGGTTGTCATTCCCTCTAATGACGACGGTGTCCCAACATTCCCAGATATCAAAACGAAGCGCATCAGCCCTGAGACGCTCAACGAGATCGTTCTTCAATATTACCATGCCTTGTGGAGTACGTCAAACTCCCATGAAGTTACGCATATTGTTTTAATCTAGTGTTCAGTCTACTCGCGCAATCCCCATCATCCCCACGATCTTCCCTGGAAGGAACTTGTAGATGATGCATCCAAGTTCTACAACGTGGATCACTTCGATTACCTGTGCTTTGATAGAGATGCCCTCCAGGAGCCAGGAGTGCTGTACCCTCTCGCCGCGAAACTCCGGAGCCAATGTGGCATCGAGTCCAAAGACTTATTCACCTTCAGGCCTACCCTAGAACGTGACACGATCACCTCGGAGGATCACCCACCCCCTTCTTCGGATACGCTACATTCTGAACAGTTTGACCAGCGCGAACAGCGTACTGAGGTGGAAGATGCTGCTGCTGCTGAGGCCTGTCTTTCTCGTAGCTTCTCTCTTGACACGCCGGTGAGGGCATCCCTTGCTCGCGCGTTCCTGTTAGGCCAATTCAAATATTGTCTCAGATGATCCCGGAGCTGGAAGCTTCCTCGGCGTGCCCCTCTGAGCCTACACAGGACACGCACACGCCACAGATATCCGGGCGAACCACACCAGCTGGTTCGAACAGTGCGCAATCACTGTCGCAAAGTCAAGATGATCATTCTCCGCAGCCACAGAGGGCTGTACGTCGTCCCAGAAGGCACAAAGTGACTTCAAGCAGCCCACGTTCAAGCCAGGAGCGTACGACGCGCACGTCGACGCGCAAGATCGAGCTCGACGCGCGCTCTGTGTGAGTGGAGATACGTCCTTGTATGCCAACGCGTTTATGGAATTCTTTTCCCGCCTCCAGTAGCTTCCAAGGAACAACTCGGGAACCCGCGAGTGGTTCGGATGCGTCCAATGCGACGCTATCCTTGAGGCCGCTACTTGTTCCAGGCAAGACAGACACGTTCGCCTCCAAAGGCTACCAGTTCAAGATTCCGAAGAAGCTGCAGAACACGTGTGTATCTATGCAACCACTGTATCGATTCTACGCTCATGGCGCTTTGCAGTTGGTATGTAAGCCTTGCTGAGTATCAGGACCTACACGGGACCATTATCCATGATGACGCCTTCAACGACAAGAAAGAGCTACCGGCATTGGTGAGCTTGTGGAGTCTTCTGCACTTACTGAGGGCTCATTGTTGTTGTAGACGATCCTCGCGTATGATCCTCAATGGATGGCAAACCGGGAGGGTTGGGAAAAGTTCGTTATCTCTCGCCCTTGATTGCAGCATGTCGCGTGCAAATCGTTGGACTAGCTTCATTCTCGAGGATCAGACCGTTGGCGCCAATGACCCTGCAACCTGTTCTACTCATACACATGTATATTGCGATGTTCGCGCGGATGTACTGCCGACATGTGTGTAAACAGCGTACCACACCATTTGCGCAGGACAGGCCCTAGTTTTGGAGTATATCTTCCCAGCTTTCGGTCGGGAGAACGAGAACAGATGTATATGAGACCAAACCGGCCGGGGACGTATATTGATGCGCAGGGAAAGTGAAGCGGCGATGAAGTACATCTGACAGAACGTCCATGCAGCGCTTATTGGCACAACTATGAGTAATCAAGCTGCTGAAACCCATTCATGAACCGACGAGCACGGTGTTCAGTAAGAACTGTGCAAAAGCTACGTCGTTGTGCGGATGTGTCTGAAGTATCTCTTTGCGCGTCTTCACAAGGTCCGTGTCAGTCTGGCGGGTATGCAAAAATGCTACGCGCGCGCGGTGCGCGACCTCCCTTCGCCATGAGACTCGTCAGTACTGGTGCAAAAAGAGGAGATAACCATCCGACATACAAATGCGTGAGCAGACTGTGCCGCTTGAAGTCATCGCTTTCGCGCCTACACCCGCCTAACGGGCACCGGATTGTTCTTCCTTCATCAGCCAGGGACCGGTTGTGTATTGATCGAGCTTTTTTGAGACGCCTCTTTTGTGTCCTCGTCAGATGTTCCTCTTCGTCTTTCCTTTTAAAGGGAATGAGCGGGGATGTAGAGACTGTTTGTTGGAGCGATCGCGGTGACGGGGCGGTTGAAGGTATCTGGGGTATGTCCTGAGATGCGGCAGATGCTGAAACCTCCATATGCTCGCGGACGGGATCTGATTCGAAGGTGTGGCCGTCTTGAAGGTGATCGGACTCAGTCACTGAGCTGCTGGGGGCTGAAGCAAAAGCTCCTTGGGAGATGTAAGCGCAATTCCAGTCGAAGTCTTTTGAAGGTACTAACGTCCATCAATAGTGAGAGGGACTGGCAGATAGGCCGGAGCGGCAGAGTACTGCGACGACCGAGGATCCGAACCTGGATCTGAACGCGCATTTGCAAGGTCTTCAGCCTCCCAACGTTTATACGTCCACCAGCAGATGGCCGAGAGTTGAAGCACATCCTCGGACTCCGTATCCCCGCAAGCTAGACGGTGCTGGCGTAGCTCTTCGCTGATTTGCCGTGCTTGCTCAACATCAACGGGCGGTACGAAGTCAACGGCAATCTTGATACACGAAGTCACGTTGTCGACCTGGATATGAATTAGCGCGTTGGAAACTAAGGATGTGGGATTATCACCTGGTGTCCGACACCGGCTGGTATAAAAACCGCCTCTCCTTGCTTTTGGATGAAGGTCCGAACGTGCACACCTTCATCATTCAACTTCCGAACGTCTTCCTCGGTAAGGTTGAGCTGCTGAGAGTGAATCGGGTGGCCGTCACCATAAGAACCACGCTTCCAGTCGCTCAACAACTCTGCAGCGCGAGCCATGTCGTCGCGATCGATCATCTTCCACAATGCACCGCCTTTAGAACCACCCTCCGCGTGAAATAAGACATTGATCGCGGCACTCATGTCGCAATGTAGTCGGGTAGTGGTACCGCCAGCCGCGCCATGTGCGAGGTAAGCCTTGGGACCTATCTCGTTATCAGCACGAGCGACATTCTCCAGCGCCAAGTCGCACCTGTGTCGGGAGGGCACGAATCTGTTGGCATGTTGATCTCGAGATTGAGAGGCCCTCTTCTTGATGTGATCCAGGGAGCTACGAGACAGTCTTCAAAAAGGTCGAATATCTCGGGGAATTTCGCCGCAAAGTTGGCAGAGGGCGGCCAATCCTAAACATCGAAGTGAGCGACGGCAATGCGCTGGGCGCAGAAGAGCGCCGAACCTGAAGTTTCTCCGGATTCTTCGGGTCTTGGGGTTTTCCAAACTTGTACATGAAATGCTTCAAGGCGAGTTTGCGCTGCGAGCCTGTTTTCGTGTTGGTGAGTGTAACCACCGTATCGCCGTGATTTTGCACGAAATATTCGGGTGTCAGGTTGCGGTGACCTGGATTGATGCCAGACACCACCATTGGTATACCGTTCGCGAGGGCGTCGTATACTTTGGCATAGGTGAGCGGGTTGCGGCTATCTGTGATCCTCATCTTGATTACTTCTCTGCGAGAAGGCGGAAGGCTTGGAGGACGAGTACTTCAATTGACATCAGCAATCGACTACGTGGGCGCAACCGTCTGGGACGAGACCCACCGTGTCTTTCCCCGCAGAAACCCCAAGGCCTTCTCCAACTCCCCTGCTTGGAAAACTTCGAGTAGTACGAAGTCGTGCCAGGTATCCGTTCGCTTGTTTGCGCAAGGGAGCAAGGCCGTCTACGTCTGTAATCAGCGATGGTTTCCGCGAGTGCAAGACACACTGAACTCGATTCTCGCGTGAGCATCTTGCGCACACTTCCTGCCCACAAAACCTGCAGAGCCGTACTCCGCAGAACAAGGACGACTTGCAGATATCTTTCCTCCGAGGGTATAAGTGCACCGCATCATTGGTGATAACAAGGGAGCGTACCGCACGTAGAGCGACTACCGTCCAAACGTGGCGTCCATGGTATCGAGGCAGGACACTCTTTTCGTAGACTGAGATGATCCTCAAGGTCGGGGACGATGATGGAGCATGCCTCCTGTATATCTGCGTCAGGGTCCGGCATTGTTGAAGGGCAAGTCTGGTGTAGCGTACCAAGCATGCGTAGGACGTCTCATAGGTTCTAGTGGGCGGTGCTGACTTGTATTTGATTTGCACGATCTTACTATACCCCTGTGGACGGATTTCTAGAAGACGGGGCGGCGAACCAGACGATACCCGGAATGTACGCTGTTCAATCACATTTCCCTTCTTGTCTGCCCCTGTGACATAGTCAGAAATGTCGAACCTGCGTGCGGTCTGGCTGTAAACATTCAGGCCTACGGTAGAATTGGCACTCCTTTGGGCGCGCTCGGGAACAGAATACGCATTCGCCAAGTTCCTCGGGGAAGACTTTAGCCCGAGATCTATTGAACGTAGTACAGGCACTAGTCTGCCTGACAATGTCCTCGGCCATGACGGTCAAGATGAACCTGCTCGCTCGTGGCTCTCTCAGGCGCCATCGAACGCATATATTCTCACACAAATATAGGCGAGCACATGGCATGCAATGTCTGGAATTGGAATGTATCGGACTGGACCACTGCGACTCTATGCAAGACCGCGGGTTGGGATGGTAAAGGTACGTTGACATACTATACGGGGTGCTCATTTCTCTGCATCCGCGTCACAAATGATTCCAGCTGGCATGCCCTCCACTAATCGCACAGCCCGCGGGCCGTTGCACTCCATCCCATAACTAGGTAGCGTGGTACTGGACGCGCCGTAACGTCAAATGAGGATGATGCGGGAGCGTGGAAAGCCGGTGAGGTCGCCAGCAAAGTGAGATGGTGGAGTGGGAGCGTATGCGTTCTTCCGAATGTCTACCGGAGAATATGGCAAATTAGTACGTTTCAGTCAATTAGGAAACGCAGCACACGCACTGTCATTCCAGACCGCACCCCTTACCCCTACAGTCCATCCAAGTGACTAGCTTGTTGCCATGCGTGGTGCTCAGTCTTCGCGCTAGATGCTCCTTATGGGGAGAGGTGCGGAGCGGGACAGGTCAAGCCGAACGGATCAGGGCGGGCCCATCAGGGTCTCGCGCTCACGTGGGTTTTTGTGGGCAATGGGCGTACTACGGTCTCGGCAAATTTCCGCGTTGCTCAGTGACTTCCCGTGAGTTCTCCGCTACGCTATATGGGTATTGAACAGATGGGCCCGCTACTTGTGGCTCATCGCAAGTACGCTATCTTGAGCTTTCGAACGACCGGCCGCGTGCGTGTCGAAGCGCCGCCTCGGCGACCACCAGGGTTCCTCAAGTTAGTAACGATCGCTACCAGGGGCTCATTGGTGAGATGGAATGGAAGCCTTGCGGGATCCTCTACCCGTATCGGCCCACAGTCCACCGGTGGAACCGTGTAGTGATGGTCGGGCTTTGGGAAGAGCGGTATGAGCGCGCTCACTGTGAGAACGGTGCGCTTTGCCGATCCGTGGGTTCGGGCTCTCTTATCTCACTCATCCAGCGGCGCTACTTGTTTGATATTCAGTAACACGTCAACCGATGGATTATTGCTACGAATCGCTACGGGTCGCATCACGTAGCGCAGCTTACGCCTTTCATGGCGGAGAAAGGAAGGCTGAGATCCGACCGGAGCCATGCAGCCTGTCCGCTGAGCATCGACGAGCCTGCTCGCCGCGGATGATGTTTCTACTCCGGAGCATCTAATCCATCTCACGCGAGACTAACAACAAGTTTGCGTCAGCCATTACCCCTCGACGGCGAAAAACTGAACGTACAGCTACCCGTGAAAGCATGATGTACAAGGGTTTTCAGGCGTCTATGATGATGATCCACGTTGACATCGGAAAGTATGATAGCGCGTTGCCTCACAGGTACGCGTATATCACAGATGCGGCCAACTTGCCATAGGTACTCGCCTGTTTTGGACTCAGCAGCCAAGACTTTGACC